ATTTCCCTCCAGCAAGCCCTTCACGAGTCGGTGTTCTCCCCTGGCGTCTCTGCTGCTCCCCCCCACCGGGTGGCGCTGTGCTGGGACAAACACTGTCAGTTGCTGCCTGAGGTTTTGGGGCTCACCGCCAAGAGGGTGGCGGGATGGAGCACTGAGGAGGTCAGGCATTCAGCATGCACTCTTGCGATTGATATGATCATGACTCTACAGTCTTCCTTCGGTATATTCCGATTCATCGTTCATCTGTTATGTAACGTTAACTATCTGTCCCAATGCGAAAATCTGTGGAGCGATAGTTTCTAGGGCGTTTTCATCCTCCTCCTATTTTGTCAGCTTTGACGCAGTGTCTAAACTGCTGTTACAGTTCTGATAGTACTTCTCAGGGCAGCAATTTATCAACCCTTGGGACAGTCGAAAACGCGGTGTGAAAAAGCGTAGAGTCACTTAATTGTCAGCGAACTGGAATCAATCATCACCGAAATAGATGTGAGCATCCCTATTTACTTCTGTGGATATCAGAGCAATCGCTCTGGTGTTTTATGGACATTCTGCTTTCTCTATAAGGAGGGAAACACTTAACGTCCATAAAATGCAAAATATTGAGGGAATTGTTTTAATATTTTCAGGGGTTGAAGTGGGCAAGTGTACAGACGTGCACATAAATTTGGGTGATAACCAGTTGTAGTTTTCGGACATTAAGTACGCTTTTTTTCAAGAGTTCTCATGGAATCTAAAAGCCTAACATCCATAAAATCCCAAATACTGGGGCCGTCGTTCAATATTTTCCGTGGTTGAAGTGAGAATTTAGTCGAGATGTGGAAGTGGTCATGACTTAGCTGACATTTCCAGGCAGTGTGAAAAGGGGCTCGCGTTTTAATTGTTTTTCCACCAGGTGGCCAGTTTTGTAAAAGGACTTCCAGGGTGTAAAGAACATGCTGCTACATTTAAAACGGAGGTAACTTTCTCGACAGCTTTTAATATATCGAGCGATTTAGATTTGATGTTTTAGTAGTGAAATCTATTTATTTTGTTGCCTCCAGCAAATAGATGGCGAGGCCTTTCTGCTGCTCACCCAATCGGACATCGTCAAGATCCTGTCCATCAAGCTGGGCCCTGCCCTGAAGATCTACAACTCCATCCTCATGTTTAAGAGTGCCGATGAAGAATAACTGGAGGCTCCCAACAGAAACGTTGACAGAAAAGCCATCAGCTTCAATTAATTGCTCTCTTCTCAATGGACTTAAAAGGGGGGGAGGGGTGTCCCTTGTATTGTTTACTGAAACGTCCAATAACTACAAACAGCTGCAAAAATGTTCCTTACATTGTTTGTGAGATGTCGCGCCCCCCCAAACACACACACAATTTTTTTTTTTTTTACAGCTTTCAAAGCTGATTGTTCAAGCAACATTGTTTTTGTTTGTTTCAATGAATGGCACTATGATTTGTTTTATTCTCGCACTGTAAAGCAAGTGAGAACTGAGAACAGTATTAGTGATGTGACGGTGAAAACCCCTTTTCCCAACAGGAGCTGCTTCAGTTTTTTTTCATGTAATCTCAGAGCGTTGTTTGAAATTTAACTACCATTTGAACAAAACAGACATATTACTCTGTATATACGGTATATTGAGGATTTGAAGGTGTTTGTTTTAAGTACACAGTGAGCTGTAGGTTTTCCCCCTCACTGGTCTAACTGGTAATTCACGAAAATTCCTGTTTTTATCATTGCTTTGATGGCACATGAATGTAAAAAAAAAAAAAAA